TGAATGACTTCTTTGGCGAAGTTTCTGTTCCTATCCTGTACCCATTTATCTATTGGGTTTTTTACCCTTTTCTTGTTGAGTTGCTAGTCTATACATTTTATATATGAATTCCTTATCAGATATATCATTACCATAATTTTTCCCCCAGTCTGTTTCTTTCCTTTTAATCCTGCTGGAAACGTTTTTTTGATGTGCATAGGGGTTTCAGTAATGGACATAAGGGCAAAGCTTTCTGAGGGTTTTTTTAAGGACAATATAGGTTTTGCTCTGATAATGTAGGACATTTATGTCCCAAGTGGACTCTGATGGTAGCATTAGTGGGGCCAAGCCTGTTTATTCAATGTCACACCTTTAGGCAGGTGCCAGCCAGGTAGCAGAACACTCAACAGCTAGGCTGGTGGCTTATTAAGAATCTTGAGAGGCTGAAAATGTTGGCTTTATGTGCCATCAAGTTGGAACCAGTTCATAGCCAAGCCTCTGGTGATTTTCAGTGGTTGTAAATTGCATGGGGAGATTGGTAATCTTTCTCCTGTGGAGTGGCTGGTCAATTTGAATCATATGTATGTCATAGATTTGACAGTCCAACTCCTTGATATTAGGCCACCAGAGCTCCCTAAGAAGGCTGGAAATTTAGGTGGACAATATAAGTCTCAAAAGGGTTAAACATGGAAACTTACATAAGAATCATCACCACCATCATCATCACTGGTTATGTGATTTACTCTGTGTCAGTTCCTGCTCTGAGAATCTCCATTATTCTCTTATGTGTGGCTGCCAGGACACAACAACAGCAATACTCATTATAATACTACTTGTAAAATGTTTTTAGGCGAGCTCTGGTGGCCTAGTGGCAAGAAGCTGCAACTGCAATCTCAGAGATGCACGGTTCGAATCCACCAGATGCTCTGCTGGAGAAGGAGGAACAATCTCCTCCTGTACTAGTCAGATCTGATTTGACGTTACACACAAAAAATAATGAAATAAAATAAATTTAAAAAATGTTTTAAAAAAATTATGTTCTGAGCACTCTGAGATGGGGGCTATCCATTTCATGGATGAGTAAGATGAGGCACGGAGAAGGCAAATGGCATTCCCAAATCCACATAGCTAGTATGAGAAAAGAGTGTGCTGGTTGGAGAAGTGATGCTGCCAACCCAAAGACACATAGTTCTAATCCACCAGCTGCTCTGTGGGAGGAAGATGGGCTTTCTCCTCCCATGAGATTTACAGATCAGAAACTCGCTGGGCAGTGTGGTCACAAATGAGTCAGTTTTGACTCAACTGCAATGAGTTTTAATTTTTTTATTTTTAAATTTTTATTATTTTTGTGTGTGTGTACCGCCAAATAGGGTCTGACTGGTATGGAAGGAGATTGTCCCTCCTTCTTGAGCAGAGAATCTAGTGGATTTGAACCACTCACCTCTGGGATTGCAGTGCAGTTTCTTGCCACTAGGTCACCAGAGCTCACCTGAATTTTTAATCAAGGTTGCTTTCACTTCCACCTGAACAAACTCTTTTTCTCAAATAATTTTCAAAATTATTCTGAGATAATAAGAGATACTTTATTCAATATAATAAGAGACAAACTCATTTTCCTTGACATCACTTGGCTTTTAATAAGTATCCTATGCAAGGAATACCAGAGAAGTATATCTGTGTTTCATTGAATATGTAAAGGCGTTTGACTGTGTGGATCATACTGGCTGACTCTGAGAAAAATGGGAATCCCAGAACACTTGATTGTGCTAATGTGAAACCTATACTTGGACCAAGAGGTAGTTGTCAGAACAGAGCAGGGTAGCACTGCATGGTTCAAAATTGGGAAGGGCGTTCGCCAGGGATGTGTCCTGTTTCCATACCTTTTCAACCTGTATGCAGAAAAGATCAGCTGGGAGGCTGGGCTCTATGAGGAGAAATGTGGGGTCAGGATTGGTGGAAGATCTATCAACAATCTGCGTTATGCAGATGACACAACCCTGATTGCTGAAACTGAGGAGGACCTGTAGCGCTTGCTGCCAGAGGGTCAAGGCCTGCAGCCTCCAATATGGATTGAGACTCAATATCAAGAAGACAATAATTCTAATCTCTGGAGCAATTGGCAGCATCAGGATGGATGGTGAAGAGATTGAGATTGTTCACAGCTTTAGTTTGCTTGGTTCCACACTCAATACTCTTGACACCAGCAGCCAGGAACTTAAAAGACGTATTGCCATGGGAAAGTCTTCTGTTAGGGACCTCTCCAAAGTATTGAAGAGCAATGGTGTCTCTCTGGAGACTAAGGTGCATCTGATAGAGGCTATGGTCTTTGCAATCACTTGTTATGCTTTAGAGAGTTGGACAATGACTAGGGAGGATAGAAGGAGAATTGATGCCTTTGAGCTGTGGTGCTGGAGAAGAGTATTAAGGATACCATGGACTGCTAGGAAAAAAACCAGATTCATCCTAGAGAGGGTTAAACCAGGCTGCTCATTGGAGGCAAGGATTTTGAGGCTTCGTCTAACATACTTCGGACATGTTGTAAGGAGAGACCGGTCCTTGGAGAAGGACATCATGCTTGGTAGGGTGGAGGGACAGCGCAGGAGGGGAAGGCCCTCTATGAGATGGATTGATTAAGTGATTGGGGTAATTGGGATGGGTGTATCAGAGACAGTGCGATTGGCACAGGACAGAGCAGTGTTTAGGGCTGTTGTACATAGGGTCTCTATGAGTCGCAAGCAACTTGACAGCACATAATAACAACATTCTACTTGAAAGATTATACTCTTTCCTCACATATATACTATAAGTGGCTCATTAAACAAATATTATATATAAAAACCTTGAAAACATTTCTTTCTTCCAACAGTCTACACTTTGTGGTGAACTGGTGGCAGAATACCTTTAGTGTTCTTCTTTGAAGAGGAAAATATTTCCATCAAATTAAAAAAATGTGAATTTGGTTGATATAGAATTTAAGATTAGGAAAATTATTGCATATGGTTTTGGACATTAGCCTTTATTTTATTCATCCTCAGAATTTGTCGGAGCACTGCAAATGACAACCTGATGTTCTGCTTCTATGGAGAGCATCGACTTGACATATGATGCTGGTAAGAAGTTATTGTGGTTGACAGCACTGTCTCTGGTGTCTGCTTTGTTCCTCTGTGAATGTGTAATCATGAACAAGCGACTTAAAATTGTTGGTGCTCAGTTCTTTTTATCTGTTAGAAGGAGGCAATAATAGTATACTCCTGAGAAGCTGAAATTCAGAAGGATCTGGTTTAAAACATCACCAGTCCTATCTCCCATTTCCTCATACTAAATTAGGTTTCCAAGAGACATGCCAGTTTAGCCCAAATGTTGGTTGTGTGAATCCATTCAATGGCACTATATAAGACAGGGAGGATAAACGTGCTTCTGTAAAGATCACAGCCAAGAACAGTTCCATTCTGTGACACATAACGTCACTATGAGACTAGACAGACTAGACTCTAGAAAATGGGTTTTGTTGATGGAAATAGAGTTAGATGAAATCTGAAAAAGTAAGGTCTAAGAAAGGGAGCTCCGGTGGCTGAGTCTGTAGGGAATTGAGCTGCTAACCCAAGGGCAGCATCTGTCTGGTGGTTCAAATCCACCAGCAGCTCTTTCAGAGACAGATGAGTGAACTCCTGTTCAATTTACAGTCTTGGAAAAGGTGCCAGAGGGTGAGCTGTGAGTTGGTTCACAGCAATGAGTTTGAACTTTGAGTTTGATGAGGTAAGATGTGACTGTCTGAGAGATGTTGCCTAGAGCACCCTGGAGTCTGAGATTGAGAACGTGTTTCTCCCAGTTTCATCCTATGCTGCCTCTTCGCCCTTGCACCCTCGTACCCACAAAGCCCAAGGCCTGGTGAACTGAAGCACGACCAGGGCACTGGATGCAGGGTGTCAGGTGCTGATTATATGTTGTCAAGTTATCTGGTTTTCTCCAGAGAAATCTCAAAACAGTAAAATGAAGAAAGGACACGGTGGTAACTAGGTGGAGGTCTGTGATAGGCAATGGACTGGGCTGAAAACCATCTAGGGAAGGCACAGGAAATGGTGCCGAGACTGAAGTACGTCTTCAATGACATTAAACGTATTCATTCACCGAATGTTTATGCAGCGCCTCTTAGGACCCAGGCACTGTGCTAGATGCGAGGACACATAAAGAAATAAAACAGTCTCTGCTGTCAAGAGTTTGTAACCGAACTGGAAAGACAGGAATGCAAACAGATAAGAGTATGAAGTGAGCAACAGGGCAAAGTACAAAGGTGGCAAGCAGGAGGAAGTGATCACCTCCGCCTGGGCAGCTCAGGGACACATTTCTGGGTCTGTCCGGATGTCCGCTTCAAACCCTGAAACGGGGTTCAGCAAGTATCCACAGGTACAATCTGAACAAGCAGCGCAAACTCTGTGTCGCTCAAACGCGTTAGTGTTGAAAAGCTGACCACTATCCGACCTAGGAACAAAGGCCTGGTGACACGCTTTCAAAATGCTCAGGGCAGTGTAATCCCTGTGGATTACAGCATAGGGACAGCAAGTATCCAGAGCCCATTGAAAGCTAACATTTGACCTGTGTCGTAAAGTATCACATTATAGATGAAAATGTAAATAAACAAAAACACAGAGAAGAAAAATATTTGTTGTGAGAAGGTCAAGTAAGAGGGGCCAGAAGCCGTTGGAAAACGCAAGGCGTTCACTTCTGTTCCCTCCTTCCAGGCCGCGCTGGGAGGCAGCCAGGGACCTCGGTGCCTTGGCCTGGGCGCAGGGTGCCGGGTGGAGTGCACCCCGGTAGTGGTAGCGGCCCTCCTCCCCGGCCTGCTCCGCCCCTGCGCGCTCCCAGCCGGACGGGCAGGTCGGGGCGGTCCTCTGAGTCACCAGAATCTAGGTGGGGCCCCATCCGCGCCCCCGCGCCCAGCGGCCCCAGCGTCGTCGGGGAGCCGCCTCCCCGCGCCCTCGGCCCTTTTGTCCCGGTGCCCGCGCTCGCCGGCCACTCTGCGCCCGCGCCGTGCCCCGCGCTCCTCCGCTCCGCGCCCCGCCGTCGAGATGCTGCGCTGCGGCCTGGCCTGCGAGCGCTGCAGGTGGATCCTGCCCCTGCTCCTGCTCAGCGCCATCGCCTTCGACATCGTAGCGCTGTCTGGCCGCGGCTGGCTGCAGTCCAGCGACCACACGCAGACGGCCTCGCTGTGGTGGCAGTGTCCCAGCGAGGGCGGCGGCACCGGGTCCCCCGAGCAGGGCTGCGAAACCCTCATGCAGTATGGTGAGTGCCCGCCCGCCGCCAGGAGCCTCGGCTGGCCTGGCCGCCGCCCCACCCCACCCCTACCCAGGGCGCGCGGGCAGTGGATCCAGTGTTAGGACGCTAACCTGCAAGTCAGGGGTTTGAATCCACCAACCAACCAGTCCGCGGGGGCTATGGTAATCGGCTTCTGTAAGATTGGAAGAGCCTCGAAGATCCTATGAGGCAGTTCTCCCTTGCCTGGAGGGTCGGTGTGAGTCGCAAGAGATATGGTGTAAAAATAAAAAGTTGCCAGAATTTCCAATTTTGGACAGCTCAATAGTAGAAGCATCAGGCTCTGGTTCAAACTATGTGTTTCCGTGTGGTTTGCAGATCAGATGCAAATGATGCAAAAAAAAAAAAAAGTTTGTTGTTGCAGTGTGCCGTCCAGCTGTGTACAGCTGACCCTCCACCGGGTTTTCAGAGGCAGTAAATTGCATCCAAAGTTTGCCAAGTTTCTTCTGAGGAGCAACTGGCGGAATCAAACCACATCTTTTGAGATTGCAGTGCAACTTCTTCCCTTCCTCCTACTGAAAAGTGTAGATGAGTATAAATATATAAGCGAAGTATATTTTGTTTTGTTGTTTGTAAACCTACAGAGATTTCTTCCCAACCCTTTTCCCTTTTCTTCTGGCTATTCCTGTGATTAAAATAGAAGAAAAGGGAGGGAGAACTTCCTTAATATCAGTTTATTCTTTTTAACTTGTAAAAAGAAACTTCCTGCTCATTTAAACCATTAGCAGTTACGGATTTCAATGGCACTTGACTGTTTTACCCCTCAGGCTGATTGATGTTAGCTCCTGTTTTATGGGGTGTCCTTTTAATCTACATCTGCCGCGTACAAAAATATTTCTTTTAATGGGAAGTTTAGAGACACGTCTCTGTTCTGTCTCCGTGGAATGAAGCTGGTGATTAAGGTGTTGCTGTTGAATGTTTTTACATTACGGAGGCAGCTGGACTTGGTAAAAGACATGTCAGAGGTGTGTGTTCTCTGGAAAGACGTTTCTGGTTCCCATGGGCTAGTACTTCCTGTTTGGTGCTTTCATATGGAGAATGGCTTGCATCTTATTGTGATTTTCAGTGTATCTGAAAATATTGGGGAGAAAATGTTGGGGTGAAAGGCATATAGATAGGAGTATAATAAAATATTTGAAAACCAAATACTGCTGAATTGGGCCTTACCAACTGTATTTAATAGGATCAAACAAAGATGCAGTCCTGGTAGTGAAAGTGCTTGATTGCTACCTAAATGTTGCTGATTCATATCCACCTAGGGGCCCCTGGGAAGAAAGGCTAGACAATTTCCTATTGTAAGGATTCCTGCCAGGAATACCAAGGGGTATTCTAGTCTGTCACATGACTCAGAATCTGTAACAAATAAAGCAAGCTGCCTTGCTATGACCGTTGACTGGATTCTTTTCCACACATCCGAACAGATCTTTTGAACCAAATGTGTGTATTTATGGGTCTGGGGCTCTGCACTAGGGGCTCGGGCTCTGTCTTATCAGCTCTGGGATTGTTAGTTAAGTGCCTGGGATACAATTTCCCCTCAAAGTCAGCCTGGTGCTCATTATGCAAGTCATAATACAAAGACGTCACAGAATACTGTTTTCCTTAAAGTTTTGTTTCTCCTTTCTTAAAACTGACAAAGACTCAAGGTCTACCAGGATTTGTATCTTTCCAGAGGTTTTGAGTGTTGAAAGGGAAGGCATCTCTTTGACATAAGACTCTAACTCCTAGTAAAAATTCTGTTTCAGACTCAGAGTCACTCTTAGGGGACTTAAAAGCTCTATCTTTCCTTTTTACATGGACTTTGATAATATCTCACTTGGAAGGCAAATATAGACACCAAGAGCATATTCATCAGTCTTTTCTCCAGAAAGGGAGGAGGTTAACCTGCTGCTAGAAGAGTTGGAATCAGCAGTGTTTGTTGCTAGGACAAGATGGGGCCTGCAGGGTTCTTGCTGGGACCACAGCCCTCTTGTGAAACAGTCACAATGTCATATTTATTTTCTTGACTTGCAGGATGAGCTCACCTTTCTAGGGTGTGGCTGGTTCCACCTCAGGCTGACTGGTATTGCTTTGTATATGGAAGGCTTTTGTTTCTTAGTCTGTTAAATCATGTTATTAGATGAGTGTCCAAAGCCTTTCCTTTCGTAAGGAAAAGGTTGATCCAGGGCATAGCTTATGTCTGATAAGAAATGTGGTCTGGGGACAAGCTTGCTTGGATTATTTTATGATGCAACCAGATGATTTTCATAAATGGTTGGCAGTTTTCACATCTCAATGTAGTTCTTCCTGTTAAGTTTTACAGAGATTATATGGTGCTGTTAATAATTTATTAAAAGAACAGGGCCTTGCCCAAGCCCTAGTAGTTATGAGTCTAGGACCTGCCATACTATGAGTTACCCGTGGGGAGAAGACAATAAATGTATGAAGCCACCAGGAGAGGTCGAGTATTGAATGTCTATAATGTACCGTCATGAATTTTCTTTCTCCAAATGCATCAGGGGCATATTTTAAGGATTAGCTGAGGCAGATTTCAACTCCCAGACAAGTTCTATCTTGTCAGGGTGGAGACTAATGAAGAGGAGTTTGAAGCACTCCTTTTACATCTGAGAAGAAAGTGTAAAGTCCTGTATCCTGGTTGAAGAGTGCTTGACTTGAACATTAACTTGGAAGTGCTGAGTCTCACTTTTACACCGTTTTGAATCCTGTTGAGCACAGTGAAGAGCTCCCCCACCCTCACCTTTCCAAGTCTAAGCCATCAGGATTGTAGTTGTTATGTGCCGTCGAGTCGCTTGCGACTCATAGTGACCCTATGTATAAGATCCCTAAATTATGCTCTATCCTGTGCCAGCCTCACCGTCTCCGACACTCACTCCCATAACCCCAGTCACAGAATCGATCCATCTCATCGAGATGTCTTCATCTCGAGGGTCTTCCTCTCCTGCACCGTCCCTCCACTCTCTGTATGAAATATTTTTAGGTCCTTTAACCCAGTGATTCTTACATATACAGAACATGAGAAAATGAAATTTGAAATCAAGAGGCTAAACTACAGTAGGCTAAGTTAAATTTAAAAGAGTTTGTTGTGAGATTATGCTCTTCTGCCTTTTTAGGGGTTAGTAAAGTATTAAAATATTCTTATTTTTGTAAAATTGGGCTTTTAGTAGGTAGGTCATGTTTCCTTTGTGTATGTGAATGTTAATGCTCTTACACAGCAAAGTTAAGAAGTCGGCCAGTGTTAATTGGTTTTAATCAAGAATAAGTTTGGTCTGGCCATATGTGTTGAGCCGGATAATGACACCCCCCCACCCCCTCCACCAATGGAGGGCCGGCTGTGACTCAGTTTTGCCTGGTTTTATCTCCATCTAACCACAGTCTCTTTTTGTTGACTTAGCTTATCTTCTCCATGATCAAAGATGCAGACTCACAGACTACTAGGATTAGAAGGAACCTAGTGCCTCTTCTTCCCTTTAACACTTAGGACCGAGGAGCTTCCTGTCACTTGACAACCCAATTCTGTTCCCTAGATCATAGACCACCTGGGCTGACATGGTTCTCCTGTGAGGTCTGCTTTCTAGCCTTTTCCTCCTGTCTCCAGACTTTCAAACATTTGAGGGTAGATCACTGCTAGTAACTTGATCGTCAGGGTAAAGTTGTGTTTCCCTGTCTTCTTGTGTCAGACAGACCTCCTACTTGCTAATTAAATATGATGCTTTAAAAGAAGATGTTCCATTGTTGTAGCCACTGTATCGTGTCAGTAAGGGTCTTCCTCTGCTTTATTGAGCAAGCTATCGTTCTGCAAGGTTGTTGCTGTTAGGTGCTGTCGAGTCAAATAAGACTCATAGCACCACTATGAATAACCATCCTGAAATCTGACCAGTCCTGTGTCATCCCATCATCTCTGAGACACTAGAGCCCATTGCTAAAGTCACGGTATCAATATATCTCGTTGTGTGTGTGTGTGTGGGGGGGGGTGTCTTCTCTTTCGCCTACCCTCCATCTTTCCAATCAAGATGTCCCAAGAAAGAGGTCATGTAGCAAGAATTGCTGAAAACATGCAGTATTGTTCATGTGAAAAATTTTCAAGGCAAATTTGTTATCCTTACAGCTACAAACACGAGAGAGAGAGAGAGAGAGAGAGAGAGAGAGAGAGAGAGGAGAGGGAAGAGAGAGAGAGAGAGGGAGAAAAGGGAATAGTTATCTTCTGGCTCAATTTCAGGGGAAATCATCAGGCATGTGAAGAATCTCACACCAGCTGTGGAATGCTCTCCCATTTGTCTCACAGTTAAATCTGTTCCTTTACTGGTTTATAAAAGGAGGCTACAGAGTAGTTTTTTTCCTAGGCAGACCTTTTTGAGGCCTGATATTTTTGTGGACCTCTGTAATTTTGCTGCACAAAGTGCTATGGAGCACCTGTACGTGGGAGCTTATGGTAGAGTTGGCCTCATTCGATTCATTATTCCCAGTCTGATATTAATTTCACCTTCCCCCTCTTTTCAGTTGACTTTACTGTTCTTGTCTTAGAATACCTTGTAAAATTGGGCTTTTATGTAATGCAGACTTTAGAAATGAAATTGTAGTGTTTTCTCTCATAGATAAAAGTACTTAAACGCACTTTCTAGGAAAAACTCTTAAGTGTCCTTAGTAACTGGGTTCTTGATGTAATGTTGATTCTTTGTAAGGGATAGCAAAATTTGATAAACATTGCTCATAGAAATGGATCTTAATCTTATTTAAAAGTGAATTTTATAATCCTTTTTTTATTTGATGATATTCATTTTTCCAAGTATTACGTAGCAAATTAACTTAGTACATAATAGCTTACATTCACAGACTTCCAAGCTGTTCTTTCTATTAAAGAAACAAAAATTATACTCCTGCCTAGAAGCACAGTTATCTGTTTACTTGGATGCTTTTGTTGTTTCAGTAAAAATGTAGAAAGGGTTTTAAATCTTATATATAAACAATAATGAGGA